TGAAGACAAAAGGAATTATTCCCAATAAGGGAATTAATCCAGGTAACTGTAGTTTACTCTTGAAAAGACTAGAACTTTCTGTACAAGTCACTTCCCAAAAATTTAACTCTGAAATAAATGATATATTTTCATGTCTTCTAAAATAGAATATTTCAAAAACAGGGTGACTTCTTCTTGCTAACTAATTTCACCATTATAATAATCACTTATTATACTGTGTTGTAATTGCGATACTCTCAGGCTACTGAAGGAAATCAGTTTGTCCCTGTATTAAGGAACTTCAGATTACGGTGCTATACTACTTCTTTTACTAGTTATCAATACACATATTTTTAGTATTTCTCTCCTCCCTGGAAAGGCTGTCATAAGTCACTGTTTTTCACCTTGCTATCTACATTCCTAACTTTGACAACCTCTATATCCCTTTCTAATTTGATTCTTCCGAAGCTAGTAATTTATACAGTATGTTATAATTGACATAGCATCTTAATACATATTACCTCACTTAATTATTATAATAACCTTGTGATACAGGAATTATCACCATCTGTATTTTATAGATGAGAAAACTGAGGCTCAAAAAGATTGAGGAATTTACCTATAAGGTTATAAGGATAATAAAAAGCAAAAGTGATCTCAACTGTCAATCATCTTCTTTCATCACTAAATTAAGCTGTTAAAAACATTAAATAAGAGACAAAACTGGGGCCTATGGGGAGAAAAAGGAAGATTTTCATGTGTAAGCTTTGAATTTTTCTGGACATTCACAATACACATTAATTAATTAAAACACTTAGCTTACTTCTCCTTTTCTTGGCAGTGGTAGCTGCCAGGAAAAATAATCACTACTGGATAAAGAAGAAACTACTATATTCTACTTACAATTTCAAAAACCTGTGCAACAATAACAAACAATTCAAAACAACAACAATTCAAATCTACAGTAAAATAAGACTGCTATTTTCAGGGGGAAAAAGGTTTTTTTCTTCAGATTTAAAAGACAAGTAAACAGACTAAAGAATGTCTGCATTATGTCATAAATAGATTTACTTTTCCCTCAACTCTTCCCCCTGCAAAGAAAGTTATTAGAGGATCTAAATTATTAATCTAATCCACCACACAGTGCCTACTGAGAGCATTTTCACAGCTGGTAGGGGTTAAGAACACTAGTTTAGGCCCTTACCAGAACGATGCAAACCATAGGTTTATTATAGAATGGTATTACTGACATTTTTGAACTTAACAATTCTTTCTTATGTGGGTGGGTGGGGTGGGATAGGGTGGAACATGTCCTGTGCATTGTAGGATATTTAGCAATATCCCTGGCTAGATGCCAATAGCAGCCCTCTTCAGTTATAACCACCAAAAAATTTCTCCAAACACTGCCAAATGTCCTTTGGGCAAAATAATCCCTGGAGAACCATTGTTTTAGATGTTAGAGTCCTGGATCTTTGAAAAATGAAGCCTCCAACCAGCCCTGTTAATTATAATTTTAAAAAATTTATTCTATTTTTAAGATTTGAATTTTTAAAAATAAGATGTTAATAGAACAAGAAGATACCTTAATAATATATTTGTTATCCTTCTTTAGGTTAAAGCATTTGTAGAGGATTCTGTAACATGGATTTCGATTATATGGATCCACTATAGTCATCCATGTTTTCCCAAAGTTGGGGAATGTCCAGCTCTTTCCCATCCTCTGCTAGCAAAATGTCATACATACATAAGAAAATCTAAACAATTTCAACTTCCAAATCCCCATTTCTTGCTTTACATGGCCACACTGTGGTTCTTGAACCATGCATCTCATAGATTCAAGCTTATACTCTTCAGATTTCCTCATCTAGTTCCTGGCCACTATTTGTGAGACAAGCAGGGAGTAAGCTGATGACTTTTAAGATCTTTTCCAGCCCCGATATTCTAATATTCAATGACAAAAATACTCCTCCAACTTTTACTTACTGATTCCTGGCTGACCAAACCACTTCTTAAGGTCACTGAAACCATTCAAGCTTAATTTTTTTTTCTCTAACTTCGTATTTATGCCAAACACAACCAAACAGTGTATCAGTTGTTTACAACATTGCTTTTAATACAGATGATCAGTTGCTTATTCCCTGACTCAAATAAAAAATTTTAACATGTAAATTGACTTTAAAAGAAAAGCTTTTTGAGAAGCTATGAACAGATACCATCTATATGAAAGGTTCACATTAGGCAAATATTGAGACAGAAAGTAGATTAGTGTTTACCTAAAGCTGGCAGGAGGGTGAGGAGAACAGATAAAGGGTTTTCTTGGGCCGGGCGCGGTGGCTCACGCCTGTAATCCTAGCTCTCTGGGAGGCCGAGGCGGGAGTTCGAAACCAGCCTGAGCAAGAGCGAGACCCCGTCTCTACTATAAATAGAAAGAAACTAATTGGCCAACTGATATATATATAAAAAATTAGCCCGGCATGGTGGCGCATGCCTGTAGTCCCAGCTACTCGGGAGGCTGAGACAGAAGGATCGCTCGAGCCCAGGAGTTTGAGGTTGCTGTGAGCTAGGCTGACGCCACGGCACTCACTCTAGCCTGGGCAACAAAGCGAGACTCTGTCTCAAAAAAAAAAAAAAAAAAAAGGGTTTTCTTTTTGGGGGGTGATGAAAACGTTCTAGAATTAGATAATAGTGATGGTTGCACAACTCTTTAAAAATAATTGAATTGTACACTTTAAATGGGTGTACTTTATGATCTGTTAACTATATCTCAATAAAGTTGTTAAAAGCTTGGAGCAGGAAAAAGGAATTTTAATTAACTTTTATTGATAGGAAAAGAAGTGTAATTAAGAAAAAATTCTACAAAGTTTGCCATTTCATGGGCTATATAAGATTTGGTTATAATTCTGACATAAAAACTTAATTATTTTATCTAGAAATAAATTTTAACTTTTCCAGAAAACATAAACATATGCAAATTTAAACATCTTTTTCTAAACTTTGGATACTTCCAGTCATAATTTTGAAAACAATAAAAAACATTTCAGAAAGCCAAATGCTATAGTAACAATACTTCTACGAGAACAAAATATATATTAACGACAACAACCACAAAAAAAACATGGACAGTCTTTACAGTTTTGTTGATTCATTATTTTAAAAACCCATTAAAGGGTTAGGTGCAGTGGCTCAGACCTGTAAATCCCAACACTTTGGGAGGCCGGGGCAGGAGTATAGCTTGAAGCCAGGAGTTCAAGACTTCCATGGGCAACATAGCAAGACCCTGCCCCTACAATTTTTTTTAAATTAGCCTCTCCTGATGGCATGTGCCTGTGGTCCTAGCTACTCAAGTCTGAGGCAGGACCATTTCTTGAGCCAAGGAGTTGCAGGTAGCAGTGAGCTATGATTGTGCCATTGCACTCCAGCCTCAGCGACAGAGCAAAACTGGCTCAAACAACAACAAAAAACCATTACATTTCCCGTAAAAGTGATCCTTAGGCCCGGCAATCCTAGCACTCTGGGAGGCCGAAGCAGGCAGATAGCTCGAGGTCAGGAGTTCGAAACCAGTCTGAGCAAGAGCCAGACCCCATCTCTACTATAAATAGAAAGAAATTAATTGGCCAACTAATATATATAGAAAAAATTAGCTGGGCATGGTGGCGCACGCCTGTAGTCCCAGCTACTCGGAAGGCTGAGGCAGTAGGATTGCTTGAGCCCAGGAGTTTGAGTTTGCTGTGAGCTAGGCTGATGCCATGGCACTCACTCTAGCCTGGGCAACAAAGGGAGACTCTGTCTCAAAATAAATAAATAAATAAATAGAAACCAAAAGTGATCCTCAGACTATCTTTCAAAATTTAAAAATAGTCCAATCACAATAAAAATGCAAACATCTAATCCCACAAACCACAACTATCAGTTACACATATTGATCATTTTTACCCAAACTCATCAAGAACAATGATGATCACTATGGACCATCAATATCCATTTCTAGTATATCAGATGCTGCCTGCCATACACACACAGTAAAACAAACAAGTCCCATTATTCCATGTGTTCCATCATAACTGCTTAGAAATCATGTAGGCTCTCAAGGTACTTTTCCAATTAGAACTTCAAATTAGATTTATAAAAGTTGAAAGTCCATCAAAATCTGCAGTTTGTTATTTCTCAGTACACTACAAGTAATTTATCACACTAACACTTGCCTTGTTAAGCATTTACTATTAAGACTGCCTGGGTTTGACAAATCAGAAACAGAGTCAGTTAAAAACAAAAACACTCCAAAAAATTTAATTCTTCGAAAGCAAGAACTTAAATAAAGACCAAAAAAATAAAGCTCGTTAAAAGAGCTTAATTTTTTTTTTGCAACCTCGTCAGCCAAAATTCTAAAAATACCATCCTGAACTCAACACAAGAACAGACTAAGTGGCTAATTATAATTGGCAGGCAAAAGTTTCCAAGTCAACGACAGGAGGGCAGGGATGGCCTGCCTTTGTATCTGCATAGATGAAAGGAAGCAGAACTAAAGAAAATTCATTATTGAACAAATTATTGTGACATAAATTGCCAAACTGCATAACACTGAGTTATTCTTTGGGTTAGCCTTCCCCAGTGAGAGGGGGAAAAATTTTTTTTTTAAATTATTCCAGTAGGATCCAAAGGAGCTAAGGGCCCAGCTGGAAAAAGAAAGGGAAAGTTTGGGGGCAGTGTCAAAGGGGATGATGGAAGTTCCACAGCCGGGATCTGGAGAAGAGGGAGAGGGGCGAGAGCAGCATTTTCGGCCGCCAACAGAATGTGGGAAGCACCGCTGCCAGCCCCGATCCCGGAGGGAGAGTGAAAGGAACAGTAGGTGACGGAGAGGCGAATGGAAGCTTCAGCGCCGGTCAGTTGTGAGCGAAACTCTGTTCACTTTGGGCTGGGAAGGTGACAGGGGGTGGGGTCTCAGTCCCTCTCTCTGCAGTAGGTCGGGGTAAGGGTGGGCCGCGACGCGCTGGGGACCAAAGGAGGGCCAGCCCCACACCTACCTGCGGGTCCCGGGCAGACGCCCAGAGCGAGGCCTAGTGCATCTCCGCCGCCTGCAGCCCTCCACGTCGCACCGAGGCTGCTCCTCCGCGGCCGCCACCTCCTGGCGCCGGGAGCCTGGCCGGGCCGGAGCCCGGCTTCCCGCCCCCGCCCCGCGCCGGCTGGCCTGTTGGCCCGGGGAGCACAGGGCCGCCTTCTCGAGCCCAGCTCTGCTCGGGGGTGAAAGGCGGCAGCGGCGGCTCCCTCACGTCTCTCCCGGGTGTCCTGTCAGCCAGCAGTTTCCCCCGGGTCCGCAGCGCCGCCTCCGCCGCTGCTGCCACCGCCTCTCCCACATCCCCGGCCTCCAGGGGAGCCGCCGCCGCCGCGCCACGACCACTGCCTCTAGCGTTTCTGCTCCCTGCTCCACTGCTCTGCCTCACCCCGCCGGCCCGCCCGGCCTGGCGTGGCCCGGTCGGCTCCGGGGAGACAGCGCCGGAGGCTGCTGCGAGGCCGCCGCAGCCCCCAGCCCACAATCCACCGCGCGGCTCCGCCGGGGCGGGAGGGCCGCGGCCCGGGCCGGGAGGAGTGCCCGCCGCCTCCGGAGAGGGGCCTCGGCGCGGGCCGGCGCGCCCGCCGCGGGCGCAGCTGGCGTTCCCCAGGGCGGGGAATACCCCCGCGTGGCTCCCCTGCGCCTCCTGTAATAGTCCTACACGCAAGACAAAAATTCACGCTGAATTCCACTTTTCCCCTGACCCTGAGTTGGTCTCAGGAACACCCAAAAGCCGCCTTTCCCGGGACTGAGACTTGATCCTTACAACGTAGCCCTCGCCCACCGCCCAGACCAACCGACTGAAAACGTCCCTAAATCACCCAGGACCCATTAAAGCAAATACTTCCACAAGATTTCACCTCTCCTTTCACCTCCTCAAAGTAAATACTATTTAGCGTTTCCCAAATAAATGCCCTTTCAAAGGTTAAAGGTCACCCCTCCTCCCCCTCCCTGCAACCCACTGGACTCTGAAAACCATGCATTGTCTCTCTACTGAGGCCTTTCCCCTATCCCGTCCTCCCTTTTCCAAGTCTTCTCCAAGTTCCAGGGCTCCCCAGGCACTGAAATCAGTTATTCCTGTTATTTGACTGAGATACTTGAAGTGTGTGTATTAATACCTCCTAATTCTGATTCTTAACAGTATTCCATTTCAGCCTGGTTTCAGAGGGCTTGCAATCTTCAAAAAATAAAATACAATGCGCAAGAAGGGAAATATCTTAGAATATATATATGTAATTTTTTTAAGGGAAGAAAAAGATCCTCAATCATTTGAATGCTTATGTCTTAATTTTAGGAAGATTTCATTCAATTCTGAAACTATTTATTTGACTACAAATAACATTCAAGCATTTATAAGACACTGTTTTAACAAATCTAAAATGAAAATGTAACTCTTATGGTTTGGGACTGAAAAAAAAGTTGATGCAAGTTTCACTTCTAAGAAGTCACTTTGAAAACTGCAAACATAACTCTTTGTGAGTAAATCACCCAAGAGCTAAAATTGGGGGAAGGGAAGAACAAAAAGAAAAGAAGCAACAAAAATAGTTGAGAAGAAAGTCTGACATTGTATTTTTCTAAATGCAGTTCTCTATAATTTTATAATAAGGAAGGTGAAAAAAATCAATCCCCAATACAAAATAAATTTAACTATAAAATAATAAAGAACTCCTCTTAAATCCCTGATCTCTTACAAAACCAGATGAAACCTGGGCAACCATAGCCAGACTCTGGCTCTAAAAATCAACACAAAGTAGGTGAGGTGAAGGTCACATGAATTAGGTTGATTTTATCATTCCATGTTGTATGCCTATATCAAAACATCACATTGTACCCCATAAATGTATATATAATTATTTGTCAATTACATTTTTTAATTTAAAAAGATGAGTTTATACTAAGAAAATATGAAGGAAAAATTAACCAAATTTCCTCTAAGGCCAGAAAGGAAAATGATTTTACTTATGCCTACATAGAATATACTAAGAATTGGATTTAGCAAATTCCTAGACTTTAACCTGCATCAGGAAATCAACAACAGTTCAAAAACTGCCTTAAACTGGGTGCAGGGACTCTTGCTGTAATCCCAGCACTTTGGCATTTAGGGCAGAAGGATTGCTTGAGCCCAGGAGTTTGCAGTTATAGTGAGCTATGATCATGCCACTGCACTCCAACCTGGGTGACAGAGTGAGACCCTGTCTCAAAAAATGAAACAAAAGAAAATCTGCGTTAAGAATGGCTAATTTGGCTTTTTAAAAAAAAAATGTGTTTAGACCCTACCTTGTTCCAAAAAAGATTCTAAATTGTTATAGTTGGCACTTGGATTAAATGATAGCCAGTGGGTGTGTCCCAGACACTAGAACAAGACAGACTGGTTTGCTTACTCATTATCCATCTGTTGATAACATACCATAAAAAGAAAATACACATTGAGTATTATACTTAGTTCTTTTAGGGACCCAGCACAATGTTTACTTTTACTTTTCCACAGAACAATTTATAATGTTAAATCTAAACAGAAAAGTAAATGTTGATGATGAAGTTTGCAAAGTTTTTTTAAAGTGTAAACCAGACAAGCAATATTATTTAAAGGTAGATACATTTCAAATTAATTAATATATTCATTTGCTATCACTTGAAGCATGTCAGTATTAGAAATAAAAGCCAAATCACAAATAAATATGTATAGATATATTATTAGTGTTCATTTCCAGAAAGCACAGATGAAAGAAAGTTAAGAAGTTAATTGAAAATTTAGAAATTAAGATTCCATCATTGCCCTCAAAAGAAGCAAATATGAAGAAAATATTTAGCTACCATATCCTAGTACTGTATTTGGCATATTTACTATAACTGTTAAGAATCATGAAATCATGTCCATCAGAGTCATTAGAGGAAAAATGACAAATTTTCTAATGCTGTAACACCTATAAAAGGCCTATGCTTATGTTTACTATACATTCAGTGTGTATTTGTGTGTGTGGCAATAGTGAGGTTAATATATCTACTCAAACAATGAACACTGCCATTTTTAATGACTCATTTGACAGAAACTATACATTTACATGCCAATATAAATACAGAGGGCAAAGGAGGCACTGATGCAAGGAACAAGTAAAAAAAATCATTTTCCAATTTAGTAAGATATAAGCACTAGCCCCTCTTAATTCCACAATAGCAAACCTTGAATATATCAAATGGAAACCCATCCAAGTTCTTAACCTACTCTACAGCCAAATATATATAATTACACTGTGTTTTTAGTATAAATAAATTATATTTGGTAAGTAAATCCCACATGCACTCATGAACTGAAAGTATTATGCTGACAGTTGTTTCATTAGGGTTTGGCTTTTGATCCAATGTCCTGAATTATTTTATCCATCACATTTAAGCTATTTTTAAATGTCACAATGTCTAAAAATCATAATCTATAATAATATGACTCTAACCTGAAACTATGTTTGGATACTTCTTCATATATAATGTAGGACTTTCTTAATGTAAGAAACTTTTTCAATTTAAGTATGGTGTAAGATGTCAAAATTAAACATGGATATAAGCACTACTAGAAAATGTATAATATTTAATGTGATAATGCACTAAATAATTATTGGGAATAATATACAAGTTTTAAACATACCATCTGCTTCTGTCTTCTACATCAGCTGCTTGATAACTTTGAAAACAATTGTTTAACTCTGTTTAATTTCTCTGTTACCTTTCTCTTTGACTCTGATATTCTACATTTCCATTTTTATTATCATAACAACTACAATTACAATTTACTAAGAATTTACTGTACTCCAAGCATAGAGAAAACCAAGGTAATGTGGTATATTAGTTTTCTGTTGATGTGTACAAATTACTACCAGCTTAGCAATTTAAACACACACACACACACACACACACACACACACACACACGCGTATTATGTCACAGTTTCTGTGAGTCAGGAGTCTGGGCACAGCTTAGCTTGTCTTCTTCCTAACATCTCACAAGGCTGTAATCAAAAGCATCAGTCAAGCTGTGTTCTCATCTGAAAGCTTGACTGGGGAAGAATCTGCTTCAGGCTCATTCAGGTTGTTAGCAGAATTCATTTCCTTACAGTTGCAGGACTGAGAGGCCTGGCTGCTTGCTGGCTTGAAGCTGGCCCAGTTCCTAGAAACCACCTGCAGTTACTTGCCCGGTAGATTTTCCAACACAGCTGCTTACTTCATCAAGGCAATGAGTAGTATCTGTAAAGTCTCTACAGTGAATATACTAGCAAGATGGAGTGATATCCTATCATATTTGCCATAGTCTGTGGTTTACAAGCAGGTCACAAGTTTCACTCAGGCTCAAGGAGAGGGGATTACACAGGGTGTGAACACCAGGAGGTAGGAATCATGGGAGCTACCCTCAAATTTGTAATTAATACCACAGGTTTTGGAGTTTGGCAAACCTTGGATTTTCAACTTGGCTTTGACACTTTAGCTATGTGACTTCGATCTCAAGTGTCTAACTGTTAGTTTGTTCATCTGAAAATAGCAGCAATAACCTCTTTACACTTTATTTTTCTCTCTTATAAAATGAGGCTAATAATAGAATTGTTATAAGGATTAAATGAGCAGTTTAATACAATAACTGATAGCATGAAATGCCCAATAAACATTTGTTAGTTTTCTTTTTTCATCCTTCCTCTTTCCCTCCTCTCTTTCTATGTTGATGTTGGTTTATTAGAAGTCTCCATTGGCATTTCTACCTTTTCAACTGCTACTTCTTTAGCCTGGGTCCAGAGTTCATGCATACATTTGTGTACCTGTATCTAGAGCCATTCAAAACCAACTCTAGTATCAATATGTTTAAAAATAGGACTGATAGGATTGCAAATGTTATGTCAAACTTGAAGTTGGCAAAATGACAAATCTGTAACATTAGAAAGGTAGTTATTAGACACAGAAGCTTTGAGAGTTTAGAGAACTTTGCTGGGATTGGCTTATTTTCTCCCTCTGAATCATGTTCAATATGTACAAGGTACAAAAGGACATGTTATAGCATAATAGTACTCATGAACTCTGGGTTTGCCACTTTCTAGCTTAGCAACCTTGAGCATGTGACTTAAGCTCTCTAAGGTGAATTAGTTCCTTATTGGGATAATGATAGTACTCGCTTCCTAGGCATTCTGTGAAGATTACATTTAAAGTGTACAGTTGGCCCTTCATACTTAGTTTCCACATCTGCAGATTCAACCAACTGTGGATCAAAAATATGCTTAAAAAACTATAAAAAATAATATAAATAAAAGCAATACAGTATAACAACTATTTATATAGCATTTACAAATCTAGAGATGATTTAAAGTATATGGGAGAATATGTATAGGTAGGTTATATGAAAATATTTCACCATTTTATATAAGCGACCTCAGCATCCACTAATTTTGGTATCTGCGGGACTGAGGGTGACATCCTGGAACCAATCCCTCTCTGATAACAAGGGACAACTGTACTTAA